GTGTAATGACTTGGCGGGGAGACTGGCAGGAGCTCTCAGTTTACCCTGGATTTGGGAGTGCTTTGATTCTGCCCAAACCCCTCCCCTTGTTCTCTTTGCCCACGTTGCTGCTCAGTGGGGTCCTCTTCCCTGTGAAAGGGGCAGATTATTAACACTCCCTCCATGTGTTTGCAGTGACTGGTAGAATTGGTGCTTCCTAACATGTGTTTTTTGGCCATGAAGCAGGAAAATGAATCAATGTTTTGTATTCTTCTTTAAAAATGTTTAAACCTGGGCAAAAAGTTCACAGGGAGTGGTCAGACTTGTGAGTAAAAATTTGTAATGTTCCTTTAGAAGATTAAATATGTTTCATAGAAAAGGAAGTGTTTCCTATGGCATTGAAAATAAAGCTGCCTTTTGAAGCAATGCTTTATTTTCTGTGTAGGTTCAATTAGGAAGTAGCACTTTGTTGTGGGAACATAATCACAGAAGGACCTTTGTTTTATGCAAACCTTTAGACAAGAGCTGCTTGTTTGCTGGGTTTTGTAAAACCTCATTAATTTGGTTGTCTGTTGTTTTTTCCCCAGAATTTCTGAAAACTTGACCAGAATTTAGATTGAGGTTTATTATAGTATCATCCAAATAGAAAGTGTTTGCTAAGCTCATTGACAGAGTAAATGAAAAAATAGGCAAATTTCACATTCTGAGGACAGAAAATCTTGGAAGATTTTTAGAATGAGAATTGCATGTAAATTGGAGCTTCTTCTTACAAATGAGTGCTGGCTGTTCTTAAAGAGGCCGGGCAGAGACCCTTCCTGGAAGCCATGGTAGAAATTACCATTACTGTGGACTTGTATTTATTCAAAATGATTCTATTTCAGTTTTCTATTAGTTCTTACTGGCCTTAACCAATTTCAAATATAAAGTTTCTCTTGAATTTTTTTCACAAAATGAATAGATTGGAAACAATCTTAAGCTCTTCATTATGATTTGGATGTAAGCCATGCTAACTTCTTGCCCTTTAGGCATTTTTATCTTTTCCTCCTGTTCTCTGTGAAGCTGCTATTCTCATAGATATGTCTTTCTTTTGTTTTCACATTTTTATTATCTCATTTTATTTTCCTCTGCACAGCTTCTCTTCCAGTTATCTATTGCTGTGTAAGAAATCACTGCAGAACTTTATGGCTTAAAAGAACAATATTCATTTTAGATCTTTTCTGATTTCTGTCAGTCAAGATTTCAGGAAGGGTATGACTGAGTGCGTATGTCTGAAGCTACAGTCCAGGAGGGCTGGGGGTGGGGTGGCTGGGGAGGGTGCTGGGGCAGCTGGGGAGGGTGCTGGGGCAGTTGGGAGCTGGCCATGCTCTCCCTTCGTGTGGTCTCAGGACTGCTCAGTGTGGTGTCCTCATGTGGGCTAGTGTGGGCTTCCTCCTAGCATGGCAGCCTTGAGGCAGGTTGCTCACGTGGCACTTCAGGGCTCCAGCACGAGGGTCTGGAGAGGGAGGCAGAAGCTGTGTTCCCGTGTGGACGGCCTCCAGAGTCACACAGCTCCCTTCCCCTGTGTTCTGTGAGCTCCCAGGCGCTGAAGGCAGCAGAGATTCATTGGAGGAGGGGAGGGGGCTGAGGAATCTGAGGCCTGTTCCTCAAACCACCACTCCTCCTCCTTCTGAGAAGGTCTTTCTCTGAGAGGCTTCTTCCGCCAGCCCTCCACAGCTTCCTTTTTAGGTGCCACACCTCCATCTTTAGGTGGCGCCAAGGGCTATAGGATCAAATGGGGATACAAATACCGTACCTGAAGTTGTTCAGTGTTAATGACAAGTGAGCTGAATAAATGAAAATACATGAGCCAGCCTTCAAGAACCATATGGAGGTTCCTTTCTTGACAAGATTTATTTATTTATTTATTTTTTGAGGAAGATTGGCCCTGAGCTAACATTTGCCACCAATCTTCCTCATTTTTTTTGCTGAGGAAGATTGGCCCTGAGCTAACATCCTTGCCCATCTTCCTCTATTTTATGTGGGATGCCACCACAGCGTGGCTTGGCAAGCAGTGTGAAGGTCTGCACCCGGGATCCGAACCAGCGAACACCGGGCTGCTGAAGCCGAACACGTGAACTTAACCGCTGTGCTGCCAGGCTGTCCCCAGAGTTATTTTCAAGCTTTATCATTTGTGTATTATCCACCGTGGTTAGGTGAACAGTCAACCGTAACCATTTTTCCATTTAGCACAGTTTAGTTGGCCAAACCTTTCCCCTTTGTCCTTTTTCTGTTTTGAATGGCAGACTATTGGCCATACTGACAGTATACGTTACTCAACAGGACGTCTTCAACTGGGCCTTGGGAAGGATTCTGGGAAGTTAATGAAGATAGTTTCCAGGACTCTGTCAAAAAAACTTTTTATACCCCCAACTGTTTTGGCTTCAAAATAAAGCTTTTTTGTGTATTTATGGAGAGAAAGGGAGGTCCGTTCTGAGATCATTATTTCTTCCTGTTATATTGAAGCTAAAAGAAAGATAAGTTTTAATATCTGAAGAAATAGTCTTTTGAAAAATATAGTGCAGTTTGGAATTTATTCTAGCTTTTGCTAATTTTTTTTGCTTTTTACTTAGCCATCTATTCAAATTGTAGCATCTTCATCTTTAGAAAGAAAGCTGCACCTAATGAAAAAACAAAGTAGCTCGGGCATCCTTAAGCTATTCCTCAGAATCTCTCTTGTATTTCTAATGTCCTCAGTTGACCTTTTCTCTATACAGAAACTTCCTTTATTCTGATTTATAAGCAGAAATTTTTATAATACAGAAAAGAGTTTTTTAAGAAATCACTTGTGATTCTAATGACCAGTTAGATCACTTGATCAATTGATCAGTTCAATTGTTACTTAAGGCTGACCCTGGCCCTCCGGGCTTGCTAGTGAGGGAAAGAGGCAGGTAAGCAGACTGCTTCGGTCGTGGTGTGGGGTGTGCAGGGGTTGAGGATGCGTGGAGAACACAAAGGAAGGACAGCTTAGGGCAGGAGAGAGACAACTCAAAGGAAGGCCCTGGTAAAGGAAGGGGGCAGAGCGTGAGGAAGGATGCAAAGGAGAGAGCAGCATGCGAAAGGCATGTTTGTGGAGCTAAAATAGCGCATCCGGTCCTATAATAAAGATTTTCTTTCATTTTTCCTTTTTATTGAGATACAGTTAAATCCACGCTTCTTAGGGATATAGCTGGATGGGTTTTGACAAATATGGACACGTGTAAGCCACAACTTTATCACGTTACAGAACGTTTGCATCAGCCCAGCATGCTCCCCTCTGCCTTCCCAGTCAGTTCTCGGCAGCTGCCGGCCCTCTCTCCCGCCTCCAGAGGAACCACGGCTCTGGACTTCCTTCCCTTCTTTCGCTTTGGATTAGCTTTGCTGACCAACGTCATAGGATTGCAGTCAAAGCGGGTGTGTTGCTTTGTGTCTGGCTTCTTCTCAGCCTTCTGTCTGTGCGCTTCACCCACTCCTGCTTGTGGCAGTGGTTTGTTCTTTTATTTCTGAGTAGTATTTCACTTCATGAATATATAAAATCTGTTTATCCATCCTCTTGTTAGGTTGTTTGGGTTATCCCGGTTCTTTTTCTCAGTGCCTATTTTATTTCTTTACTGAGACAGGATTGACAGATAACGTTGTGTAAGTTTGCGGTGGCCGACGTGCTGGTTCGACGCATTTGTGCATTACGGTGTGACTGCTGCAGTGGCGTTAGCGCGCACCTCTGTCACACCACATGGTTAGCATCTCTTTTTTGGGGTGGGAACAATTCAGATCTCGTCTCTTAACCACTTTGAAGTTGATAATACAGTATTGTTGACTATCATCAGTATGCTGTGCATTAGCTCTCCAGGACTTCGCTACCGGTTGCTACAGTTTTTGCCTATTGTAAATAAAACTGCTGTGAACATTCTTATAACAGCCTTTTTCTGGGCATACGTTTTTATTTCTCTATGGGTGGAATTGCCTGGCCAAAGGATTTGTGTATCTTTAACTTTATAAGACATCGACAAACCACAGTCCAGAAAGTGCCTCCAGGCAGAAAGCGCTTTTCCCAGGAATCACTGTTCTGTGCTGCCCACCGCCCAGTATTTTAGAGCCCCTTTTGTTATTTTGTCCAGTATTCTAGTTGTTTGCTGCAGCAAGGCCAGGTGGTACCAGTGTCTCGTTCATGACCAGCATCTAAATTCTTGTAATAATTTTTTATGGCAGAATAATAAATCGTCATTTGGGTACACAATCATTTATTTAACCTGCTCTGATTGTTGGACATTTACGGTGTTTCCAAGTTTATAAATCATGCTGCAGTAAACATTTGAATATTTTTGTAGCCGCACTGCTGATTATTTTTTAGTGTAGATTCAAGAAATGAGATGACTGGGTCAAAGGGCATAAACATTTTTCAAATGTGATCTTTATTGCCTTATTTAAAAAATATATATTGTTCAATTTATATATTCACTAACAGCAAATGAAAGTGTGTCTCACAACCTCTCAGCAACAGGAGATTGAAATTTTCTGTCTTCCTTTTTTGTTGTTCTCTGCAAATTGAATAGCAGAGAACGTATTTATGTTTGTGCATTCATTCATTCAGATATAACATATATTTATTTACATTATGTCACTGTCTCGGACACATATTTGAGAGCACTAGGCTGAAGTCAGATGCTTAAATAATGTTTATTTGGTCTTGTTTAATCTTCACATGTATAAATAACGTCATGATTAGCAATCTCTACTGAGGCAGTCAAATTGCCTTGTAACATGGTGGTGACATTTTTAGATATTTGATTAACGGTGTAAGAGGCTGGACAGAACTTTTAAGTCAAATTATAACAGAAGAGAAAAAAATTGAATTAACTCTAAATGTCGTTTTGAGAGGTGCCAGTTGTCAGAAGAATAACTGTGACACCTGTGGAAAGCAATTAAAAATCCGATACTGATGTCTTACATCTGTATTGTGCATTTTATAAAGTCTTTTCCTATTCATTGTTTCATATTATACTTACAATGTGAGAAATCTGAAGAGCTGTCAATTGGTAGTCACATTATTCATGTGAATAATGCAGTTGGATGTAGAGAAAACATCCCCTGGATTTATCATTTTAGGCCTGAATCATAGAAAACATTAAATTTAGTTTTATAATTTTCTAGATTATAAGAAATTAAAAGTGTATTACTCAGCTGTCAGTCCCTTTTGGGGGGCGGGGGAGAGAGTGGTTCCGGAAGTCGCACTCTGTAAGCGTTGGTCTGGGCGGGATGACAGGGCTGCTGAAGTCGTGATCAAGGCGGAGACGCTTTAGCGACCGGCAGCTGCCCGTTCACGCCTGTGCGCTCCCGAGACCTGGGAGCCCTGGGCCATCTGCGCATGCGTACTCGAGGGCGCGGACTCTGGCCTGTCCTTCACGCGCCATAAGGTGCGGAAATGAAGCCCGGGCAAGCTGTGAGACCAGATTAGAACCTGCAGATAATTAGCTGGGAGCCACGCTGTGTGAACCAAGATCGCCTGAGAAATTGGTGAAGCCTTAACACCGCTCATTAGCCAACTGAGGCGGTTTAAGTTTTCTTAAAGTAACTGATAGCTACTATAAGATGTGTAAATAGTTTTGTTTGCTTTTTTAAATGAATAGACTTTATTTTGCAGAGAAGTTTTAGGTTTACAGAAAGATGGAGCGGAAAGTACAGCGAGTTCCCATATATCCCCTCTATAATAGTTTTTTGATAAAATCTTGGCTATTAATCATCTTTTAAAATGTTAAGTCACAAAGTGACTGATCTAGTGTGGTTTCTGTAGTTTCTAAGACCTTCCCCCCCATGTTTAGAAGAGGGCTGTGAGAATTGTCAGTCTTATAATTAAAAATTTTCTGTTTTCTGTACTATTTATGGCATGTAATCAGAGAATATTTACCTGTGTTCTTCATATGATAGAATCACAAGAAAGCCCATGAAATGACTATTTAGTAGGCGTCCTTTGAGATGGCCACCATTTAGGGTCATTTACACTTTCTACCGACTTAGGTACGGGGCCTTAGGTATGGGGCTGGGCAAGACACACGGCTGCTCTTTGTTTAGGAAATGTCCCCAAGGAAGAAAGCATTCCGTGTGAACTGTGGGTCAAGTCATCACCAAGGGCCTCCCTTCATTCTCAGACCCTGACAGTCTGGGGCTCTGATTTTGTATTTCACGAAGTATCACCATGCCTTATCAGAGTTTAGTAAGAACCCGGCAGAAATAGGGTCACGGGAGAGAGAAGATTTAAAAAACCCCCTCTGACTGTGTGTTACCTCCCGATGGCTTAATTGGCTTCTCCAGAGTGGGTCGCTGCCTGGAAACGCTGCATTTCCTACTCACGTTCAATTTAGAAATAAATCTCTATCTTCCACAAAAAGTTGAGTCTTCATACCATTAACTTTTCTCTCCGTATTTTCATATCTTTTTTTTTTCTTGTGGCAAAATATATATAAGACTTACCATTTTAACCATTTTCCAAGTGTAAGGTTCAGTGGTATTAAGTATATTCACATTGTTGGGCAGTCATCACCACTATTCATCTCTGGGACTTTTTCCTCGTCCCGAAGTGAAACCCGGTACCCATTAAACCCTAACTCCGGATTGCTCCCTCCCCTCCCCTCCCCTCTCCTCCCCTCCCCTCCCCTCCCCTCCCCAGCCCCAGTTAACCACAGCTCTAATGTCAATCTCTGTGAGTGTGACTACTCTAAGTACTCACGTAGGTGGAACCACACAGTATTTGTGCATTTGTGTCTGCTTATTTCACCTGGTACACTGTCCTCAAGGTTCATCCATGTTGTAGGATGTATCTGAATTGCATTCCTTTTTAAGGCTGAACAATAGCCCGTTGTATGGATATCCCAGAGTTTGTTTAGCCATTTATTTGTTGATGAATATTTGGGTGGTTTCCATCTTTTGGCCGTTGTGAATAGTACTGCTGTAGACATTGGTGTACAAATATCTGTTTGAGTGCCTGCTTTCATTTCCTGGGGGCGTATACCCAGAAGTGGAATTGCTGGGTCATATGGTAATTCTATGTTTATTTTTTTGAGGAATCGCCATACTGTTTTCCATAGTGACGGCACCATTTTACATTCTCCCCAGATTTTTTTGAAATAAGCAAAAGTCTTCTTACATAAGACCCTTATTTGGATATGCTTTTTAAAATAAGCTTTAAATGTGATGATCTGTTAGTTTGATGCTTGACAAATGATAGATGCTCAATGAAATTAGATGTATCCAAAAAAGAAAAAATGAGAATCTTCAAACAGGATATAGATGAAGGTTCCACATAAAGAAGAATTCTTGCACAGACAAAAAAATGCTTTCTAATCTCTCTAGGGCTGAAAGTATAAACGATTCAGCTAGATTTAGTGACTAAAGGAAAGAAACACATAATTATTGTTTCTAGGTGTTGTAAATGTATAACTAATGGGTTAATGTTTAATGGAGTTAGTCAAGCACAGATTTGCACAGCTTTCCTAGATCGTATGGCCAGTTGGATTCGCTAGGCTTAATGATTAGGGCCCTTTTACTTTCACAGGGTGCGATGACACTGGGTGTTCCTGACGAGGGGTGTGAAACCCTGAGCTCCTACCCATTGCTGGCTCTACTAGGGTGCCCCAGGTCAACATGAACACTAGGAGATGAAGTGAAAAGAAGTTGAGTTTTCAGCCAGAAATTCTCCAGGACTGAGGAAAGAAGGGGGAAGTGTGGGCTTAGGGGCCACATGGGAGAGGCTTGCCCCATGTTCCTGAGGTGGAGAAAGGATCTGGCCAAAGCTGGAAAGCCCTGCTTGGGTTCTTTGGGTTTTCTTTCTCACTCCCATTTTGACCTTTTGGGAAACTCTTTAAGGCCCACTCGCTTTTTTCTCTACTTTAGTCTTGGTCTTTCCTCTGTCCACAGCACCATCTCTCGTGACTTCCCTGCACCAACACCCAACGCTGTGATCTCTTATCCCTGGAGACCTTGTGGCTCCCGCTTTAAGGTCCTCTGATGGTCTAAGTTTTTAACGTGGAGCAAAGACCCGCACCCTGTCCACTCTCCTGCGGGCTCTTTGCCCTCAAGCCAGCCAGGCCTCCTGCAGTTTCTGTACCGCTCTGTGCTCTGCCCTCAGGGTCCTTGCTCCCTGCCCCTCTACACCATTACTCCCTCACCTAGGCATCTCTGACTCAGTCTCCCCTCTTTTCAGAGAAGCCTTCCCCAACCACTCGTACTTCACCAGACTTGGCTGGCCTCTCCTGCCACTCCCAGACACCTTGAACACCATCTGTCCTTCCCCCTGGGGACTTGGTCACCCTCTGTCTTCTCCAGTAGGGCCTCCAGCCCACGCCAACCGTGTCCTCCACTTCACCACTGTATTTATAGCACTTGGCACAGTCCTTGTTACAAGGCAGATGCTCAACCAATGTTTGTTGAATGAACCTTTAGTGAAAAATTGTCAGAGGGCATCCCTTGCTCCCAGCCTCACGTGTCCCTATGGGATGCTTCTCTGAGAGTGACATCTCTGCTTCTCCGCCACCCCTCTTCCCTCCACAGGGGACAGGCAGTTGTTTTTCTAAGTGGGAGAAGAGCTCACCCCGCTCCTCTGGGGCCACGTCTCTGCTTCTCTTTTGCTGGGCAGCTTGTTCTCAGGACACACAGATTCCTGGACTCACAGGGCAAGGCCGCCGAGCAGGTGTGCGTGTGTCCCCTCAGTCTGTGACACAAGAGGCAGTGTGTCAGGCAGACCTCTGCAGCCACCCGTGTAAGCCATAACCCCCAGTTTTGCTTTTTCCTGGAATATTGCTGACTTCCTTCTTCGGTCTCCATGACAGATTTCTGAGCCTACTCCCACAGGCAGTAGGAGAAGAAAGGAGTCTTATTTATTGCAACCTCTGTTCCACCGTCAACAAACGGGGCACTGTGTTTGGGGGAGAAGCCTAATGTCCTTTCGAAGCTAAGATATTCCCGGGTGAAAAGTGGTTAGCTCTGGCCGAGGAGCCGGCGGGGGTCAGGGGGCGGGGAAGGCTTGTTCTGTGTTTCTCAGACCTGGAATGGCCTGTAACTGCATTTCAACAGTGGGTTCACCTTGTTCTAGATGCTAGGCTGTCACCCAGCACTCTCAGGGGGTGGGAAAGTGAGGATCCCCACAGAGGACATTTGGTGACGAACCTGGTTGTGCTTTTCAGCAGTTTCAACTAATCCTCCACGAAACTTGGCAAACTCAGTCAAGAACACTTGGTGAAATGAGCATTGGGAGCAATTCTGTGGAGAAATACATTGAGACTAGAAATGGAAACCAACTTCTCACTTTTCAGGTTTGACTTCTTAAAGTGATTCTCTTGAAATAATGCTGCCTGTCATCTGTAAGTGGAAATAGTCCCATGTGGACCAGGGAACAGCTTACTGGGGGCTCTTTTGAAATAGCTCCTGTAGTCGATGGAAGACAGACCTGCTCTGACGGGTGTTTAAGTGTTCCTTCCCGTCTCCAGATTCCTGGGTGCAGGTTACTGCGGCCTCTTCAGATGGGCTCCTATCTCTGTGCCGTCCGCGTGTTGACCGCCTTTCTTACTTGGGCTTCTCCTGTATGTCTGCCTGAAGCATCTGAGCGTGGTGCACAAGTCAGCATTGCTTGACCTTCTGAGACGTGAGCCTTAAGAATTTTAAGGAAAGTAACCTTCTTGATCTAAATTTGTCACTACTGGTGGCCCAGTCCCTTCTCCACCCCTCACCCCCTACCCCAGTAAAAAGAAAAACAAGAAGAAAACAGAAGAAAAGAAAGTGGAAAGAGGCACTGGACATTGACATGTTTACTTTTCACTTCTAATGCCAGCACCAAATTTAAAGAAAAGCAAAGCTATTTTATTCCGAAATTCTCTTCTCATTCATGAAGCTATTTCCTGGTGTCTGTTAATTTTGTATACTGGTCCTAAAATGAGGAGATAACAGTAAAACGGCCAACTAAAATATAATAGAAATGACATTTTAAAGTAACTGTCCGTAAGAAGTTTACTCAAAATCTGCATCACACAGCTCCTATGTGCCAAGTAAACTTCTAAGCCCGCAGGGTCTCTTGCTCAGCCCAGTTTTTATTGTCACTTCACGTGGCTATCCATTGATTAGACACTGTAGTGAACGATACTCTGTAACACTGGAAGTGATTCATATCTGCATTTGTAATTAGCCTTCCGGTAAATAATTACTTCTTTATTCTGGAGTAATAAATATTAATTCACATGATCATTTTCAATTTTGTTTTCTAATAATGTCCTAAGAAATAAAGCCTACAAGCACGAATTCACTTTAAGGGATAACTGAGTAATATTATTTATCACTTGACTCTTTTTGTTTCAATGTAATTTGACTCTTAGCCTAAATCTCTTTCATCTGTGGAAAGTTCATCTCCATCACGTAGGAGAGAAGACATCCCTCGGTTCACTGTTTAGTTCCCGCCGTGGAGGCAGATAAGTGCTCGTGAGGGGCATTTCCGGGGGCATGCGCCTGGCATCTGGGCCCCTGCAGATTATGTGCAGAGGCCCTGCAGAGAGCAGCTGAGTTTGCTGTGGAGAGCATAGACTTCCCTTGCAGTGCACATCTGAAACTGCCCTCTGATATTGGGGAACAGGCTATCTGTGTTTTTCAGATCTCTGTGCCTGAGGTGGATTTAATATATTTAAGTTAAGATTGAAGCCTACATGAAAATTCCTGTCTGGATTCCTTTGTACAAACTGGTGTTTGATATACATCTACTTTATTTATGTGACACGGTTTGTGTACATTCCAGTGATCATTAACAAAGGCCACTTGGTGGAAAACCGTGCTGAAAGTGGATTTCAAAAGGGCTGTATCAGCTGCAGATTTGGCAAGGCCACAGTGACTCTGAATTTAGTGAAAACCAAGTGTCATCAATTTGTGTTCAGCCAACCTTATATGGAGAGAAAAGGCAGTTTAGTCAGCCATGCAAAAAAAGGGCAACAGAAATCTCATGGATTTTATTTGGGCAAACATTTAAAATTCTATATATTCACAGATTCCCTCATTTTTTCTATGTTATGTGTAAGACTTGTTTATCACTACACAATTGGTGAACGAGAGCTTGTGTTAACTTGCTAGGACTGCCATAGCAAATGCCGAGGACTGGAGTGCATAAACGACAGAAATTTATTTACTCACAGTTCTGGAAGCCTGAAGTCCAAGATCAAGATGTCGGCAGGGTCGATTTCTTCTGGGACGTCTCTCCTTGGCTTGTAGAGGGCCACTTTCTCACTGTGTCCTTACAGGGTCACCCCTAGGTCTGTGTCCTAATCTCTTCTTGTAAGGACACCAGTCCTCTTGGATTAGGGCCCACACGTATGATCTCATTTAACCTTAATTACCTCTTTACAGAACCTGTCTTCAGATATAGTCACATTCTGAGGTAGTAGCGGGTAGGACTTTGGCATATGAATTGTGGGGAGACATGACTTAAGCAATAACATGGCTTAAGTGAGGAAGATTGTGTTGAGATGCTGCACAGCATTCTCTTCCTCTTGTGCAGATTTACAGCTCACAGTCCCTTCCCTGGCTTGTTTCTGGTCTCTAATGTGGGGACCTAGAGAACTACTGAGAGACTGTGGGAGTAGTGCCCAGTTTCATAGTT